ATCTCTTTTTCTCTTAAATTCTTCATTCATCATTCAACTGTAGTAATGTGAAATAAGGCTATAATATAATTCAGTTCTGGAAAAATAAGATGCAGAAATGTCTTGGAAATGGAATCAGCACTGAGATTCCTTTAAGAAATAGTAAAGCTTTTAAAAATCTAGGATTTTAAGAACTTTTATAGAATATTTTATACTCTTTACTATATGCTCCGGTGTAGGTCGAAAAGATTGACTCAAATTGGTGATACTGTACGAATACAAGTCCCTAATGTCGACCGTGGTCGTACAGATAACCGAAATGTGTTAGCGGTTGTTGTTGGAATAGAAGACTCCGACTTCTATAAACTTGCAAACGAAAATGGTACCCTCAAGCAGGTTTACACACGTAATCAGTTCATAATTTATAAAGAAAAGTTACTTTCCATAGATGAGATTTATTTTCAAGAAATGTCGCTGAGAGAGGCAGCTGCAGCTGATTCGAGAAGCGGTGGGCAAGGCTATACACTCTGTCATTACAAAAGGAAGTGTTCCACAAATAAATGCAGTTGTAAAAGCAAAGGCCTCTTGCGCAATTCAAAGTGCCATAATAGTTTAAGTTGTTGCAATAAATAAGATCTGAATCACATAATTTAGTAAGTTTTTTGTTACTATTATTTTGTTCTCTCATTTAGAACGTACTGTATAATAAAATAAGTTTTTAACTCCTACTATTTTCCTTTCTCATTTTGAATGTACTGTGTGTTTTAAGTTCCTATGTTCTTAAGTTCTTATTTTTAGTTTCAAGTGCGTTTATTCGCGACTGAATTACGGAGAAGAAAATATAATATTTTTATATGTTCAACATTCACCATTAGTACATGGTAAATGTCGACATTTACCGGTGTAAGTCAGAAATAAGAGTATTTGGAAAATATTTCGGATATACACCAAGCGACTATTTGAATGTTGACATTCGCTGGTGAAAGTCGACATTCTCCAGATTTCGGTGTTTCACCGTAATATATATACTACATACATAAAAGCATACATACACACACACACGCACATTTGTAAAAGGGACTTAAAAATTACTGCATTTTTCTATATATTAATAAAACAGTATCTTTTATGTTAAATATATATAGAGAGAAAGAGCTGAAATTTTTCTAATTTTGTTTCAAAACCTATCCATAACATTACGTTAAGCCTAATCAACCATTTAAAAAAATTTTAGTATTGCATTATTATATTTACATTTTTCTTTTACTATATTTTCCTTTAATATTACAGGAATTTTGCTTTAATTAATTTTTACATTTTTGCTCAGTCGTGTCATATATAAGTAGCGCGTACTTATCCATAATATCCACTAATAAAATAATTAACTGACGCTAAAAGACTAATATAAATTATACCTATAATATAGTATCTTTTATATCTTTCTAGTCACCTGAATACACAAGATATAATAATTTGCCTTCTGGCAGAAAAACGAATAAAAGGAAACGGAAAGGGTGATAGTAAAGTTTTGTTTCGGCTGCGTTTTATTTCATTAAGGCAAAACACTCTAGGGCTATTTTATGTGCTCTAGGCTATTTTATTTAAGTGGAGGGTGCCTTCGTGGAGGTTTTTCTAAAGGTAAATTGGCTCTCATTCACATTAAACATGTGGAAAAACACGAAAACGCTCATGCAATCAACCCCATCGGCGGGGTGCGAAACCCGGAACGAACTACTAGCGTTCAGTGACTTGACCGCTCAACCGTTGTTGAACCAGTAATAAAAACTGAAGCTTGCACTAACATTACAATACTTAAAATTTTGTTCTAGAGATTGTATTTTACTATAGTATAGTGCAAAAATTCAAAATTTTGCAGTATATTCTAAAATAATATAAATACTACAAAAATTTATTATTCAAAAATGACTGCCCCTTCCATGTTTTGATTCCGTAGCAATAATGGAAATAAGAAATACTTCTTCCTCATTGGTGTTCAGCGCGATCAGAATTTAGCTGATATTCGTCATTTGCATTCAAATATTTGTTGTGTAGCGAATTTAATTTAATTAAGTGATTCATAAAAATCAAAATTTTAATTTGTAATTATTCAAAATTTGAGCTATACAAGTTTGGTTATACTCTTTTTGGGCCTATTAATTCTAGTGTAATATATTTTGGCTTTCCGAGTTTACGCGAACTGCGTTTTCAATCTTGTACACGCAAACAATGGATAAGTATTTCTTTCTACATAATAAACTCAGTTTTTCATGTCAAAAATTAATTTGATTTCTTAGTATTTAATATCATTAGTTGCAGAAAAAATTAGCTCTTTAATTTGGCATAACTTTCGTTTTTCTAACTTTAATTGCATTTCAGTTATGAGCTTTAATTAGTAGTTTTTTTTCCTCGTTTGCTTGTGATTTAGTTAAAGGGGGATGAAATGCCTTCTTTCCGGTTGAAAAGTCACTCTTCTTTCTGCGAGTTTTTTCAGCGTTCTTTCGTTGGGACCCTTGCAGGGTTGTTGAAATTCCTAATTTCCCCTGTCACAGGTGGGTTTGGTTTTTTTTTTTTTTTTTTTTTTTTTTGGCAAGGGTTTGGCGACATAGATTTTCCGTTGAGGTTTCAAAGTAGAGGATTTGGCGAGTTTGATAACATGAGGGTATGCTGTTGTTGCAACTTATTTTAATTTTCGGCGAAGAAGTGGGTTTTGTACCAACTTAGGCAGTCCGGCGTCCTCCCTTTTAACGGGATGTTTTGAGGGACAAGGTCACTTTTTTGCACTTTTGACTTACCATCGGACGCTGTACTCGCTGGCAGCTGAATTTTATTTTGGAAAATGCATTTTTCCGCCTTTGGATCTACGGGCTTCTTGCCCTTGAGTTTTAGAACGAGGGACTTAGTTTATATGCATCATGACCTCGACTAAATTATAGTCTCATCAGTTTTTAGTTTTTTTTGTGTTTGTAATATGTAAGTTACTCAAAGATAATTAAAATAGAAAAATGCAACGAAGGGTGATGCCTAGTACTGGTGCCGTTAAGAAGAAATTTTAGTCTCTCCTCCATGAATAAAGTTTTCATCTGCCTCGATGTTTCACGTCTTTAAGAATTATTTTCCGCCCTGCAAGAGTCTCCGGCATCTCTAGCTCCGGGGTCGCTACTACATAATGCTTCACTTAACTGAAACCACGGCTAACTTCAATATTGGATTGGAAATCAACTATCAGAGTAACGAGAACCTCCTTAGTGCATCCTAAATCAATAAGTAACTTCTGGACTCTATTGAAAATTCATCTACCTATGAACTCTTCTCATTTTCTACTACGCTCAGCAGCCGTCCTCCTTGGCATCTTGATAATTTTTTTAAATATGAGGACATTTGTCCTCCTCCTGTTCACTTGCAGCCTGTGATTCCGCAGATAAGTTTTTTTTATTTGTTTTCTTTTATTTGTTGGTCTGATGTTAAAAAAAAAATATATAATAGTAAATTCTAATAGTAAATTATATAGTAATTTCTAATAGTAATTCTAATAACTAAAATAGTTAATAGTGATTGAAATAACTTAATTAGTTTGAATTAAAATATTGTAGTTGAGTAAATTAACCTAAATCTAATGAAATCATTTTTTTTGTCCATAAAGTAAATTATTATATTGGCTAAGGAAATATATCCTTAATTAAATTATTTAATTGAAACAGTGAATGTGACTTAGTTAGATTGGTTAAGGAAATATATTCTTCTTCATTAAATTATTTAATTGAACTTGTGAATTTCTTCATGGTGAAGATTGATTGGTAAAGGTGTCATTATTTAAGCTTCTATGCTCCTCTTAGGGACTAAATTGCTTGTAGGATATAATAGCCTGAATTTAATTAACATATTACCCGGTTAAATCATTCTTTTGAAAATAGAAAGTTACTATGTGCAATAACCTGAATTACATTGGTATTGATTATTCTGTGTTAAATTGCTTGTAGGATGTAATAGCCTGATTTAAATTAACATATCACCCGGTTAAATCATTCTTTTGAAAATAGAAAGTTACTATGTGCAATAACCTGAATTACATTGGTATTGATTATTCTGTGTGAAATGTTTCTTTTTTTTTTTGGAAAGTATAACTTGTTAATTATTTTTTTTTTCTCCCCGGGGAGGGTATTGTTAATTTATCCAAAGTTTTATTCTGATTCATATTTACTTGAATGTAATAGAAATAATAGTTTAATATTAGTGACTCTTAAGATAAGAAGTAATATTACTCTGTAGGGGTATGCATTTGTAGAAATCAATATTTTACAGATCAGCTTGAATATAATTTGCTTACTAAGTTAATTCTGCATTGTGTAATCATCAATATGTTACAGTTCTGATTGAATATAAATTGGCTTCCTACAAATTAATGGATTAAGTAATTCTTGAAGAATTTAATAAATAGGCTCACTTTTCGAGATCAATCAATGTTTATTTATTTCTTTTTTATTTATTTTGTGTGTATGCTCATGATTTTCACCCGTCTCATTCTCAAATTGATTTCAGGGTTAATCCGAAAACACAACGCAAATGTACAGGGCTTATTGATATTAGTATATTACTGTTGTTAGAAAAATTTTAAGTGTTATGTCAACAGAGTAGGAAACCTTTTAGGTACCAGACCTTTAGGAAACCATAACATTTTTTTTGGTGCCATGACACTAGTACAGAACATATTTCAATGGAATAAAAAGAGGTCTAAGAAAAGCGTGTAGCTAATTGAAATCACCCTGTAATTTCTTTGAATACCTTATCTTTTTCTTCTCAATTTAATACCATATAGTAATTTTGAATCTAATTATTCTTCACCTGCCTCGACGATCCACCTGACTAACCTTTATAAAATAACGTCTCATGCAAAAATTGCCGCTCCTAAAAATGTGCCTCCCGGGGTGGTCAGCTACTCCACTACGTGATAGTGACAGCTTATTTTTCTTTTAAGGTAATCTAAAAAACAGGCAATTAAACAATAAGTAAACAGGTTAACTTACGATTTGAAATTTTCAGCCATTACTGACAGAAGACTGGCCAAAGTAAAAACTGCTGCTATCCCAACCGCTGACATTTTGGCGGTGAATACCGTTTTCTTCTGTATTGGGTCAGAAAATTTCGCATGAAAGTTTATCCTTCAAAAATGTAGTTACCGCGTTTGTGTTCTCTGACATCTACATTACATTTCATGTCAGATAACGCAGGAAAATGCGTTAAGACAACAGTAAAGCATTCCGATTCTCGTATCTGTGCAAATGCCATATGGTGCTTCTCATGCTATCTTCTTAAAAAGCGAAAACTAATTTTTGCTGTATGAATATATGCTTCTGAGATTAATTTTCTGTGAGGCTAATAAAAGTAAGAAGAAAATTTATCTTGAACTGACGCATTAAACTATTATTACAACATTTATTATTAACTTTCAAAAAAATTTTAAAAGGTATCATTTTATTTGAAATAACTTTTTAAATGTCCTTCATTTCAAATAAAGTTGTAGAAATTCGGGATTTTTTTTAATAAAATTTTAAAACTAGCATTAAAATGACGTAGTTATTTGTCTTTATATCAAGAGGGGCGGCCAATTCATTGGTTACCCTTGGTGACAAATTCAGAATTGCCATGCGTGGCAAAATTTCTAGCTACACCACAGATTCAGCGTCTACACAAACAAGGAAATTTTAAAACGAAAACAGAAGAAGCATCTGTGAGGTTGGTATCTCTTCCTTGAAGTGTGTTTTCAGTGGCACTAGTGAATGAATATATGTAAAGTTAATAATAATATATGAATATATGTAAAGTTAATAATAAGTTATGTCCTGTAAAGTTAATAATAATAATAAAGCTAATCAACACTAAGCTTTGGAATTTTACTGCTCTTATGTGATTGGTTACATTTAAGCAAACTGTCATAAATTAAACCCTAAAAACCTCCAATAAAAAAACGTTCCTAACACGAATATAGCACATAATGGCCAGAATTACTACCAGTTCTGCGAATGATAATCTTGAGCTTCAATTGTTTTCAAATCTTGGTAATAAAGATAGTTCTCTAAGCAATAAAGCGACAATCGAACGAGTTTTATCACCTTCTTTGCAGACGGTGCGTCTTTCGGCAACAAGAAAAGTGAACCTTTCCTCCAAGAGGGGAAGAAGAAAACGTTCCTAATGAGAAATTTATTTTATGAGCGCCACAGGAACAATTAACGAAAGCTTCCATCATCCATTACAATGTTACTTCGATATTGGATAATTTATGGAGTTCGTAAAAGTTTGCCGCCATCAAGCATGTTTGTTGGGAGAGGGGAAACCGACGGTGATATATTATTGAATAAATAGCGGCAAAGTGATAAAGTTGAAACGAATGATATTAGCTCCAGTTCTCTTTTGGCAGGTTTACCATCCTGTGTTCTTATAACTGCAATGAGAATTTAAATGTGAGTGGCTTTCGTTGGGGCAAGCTAATCAGTTCACAACTGGATTTGAGATAGCTATGAAATTAAAATAAACCATAGCCGAACTCGAGGTTTACGGCACTAATACGGAAGGTGGTTACACATTTTTAGTACGATATCGTGGCCGTTTAATTAACATTTAAATTGTAAAGAGCATTTTTTAAATGTTCAGTCTGATATCATTTTTTCTGGACTATGTCCTCATCGTGATTTCCATCACAAGAAGAGCTTCTCGTGAAATTTTCAAGGTATTGATTTTTATTCCTCTTCACTACTTTCCAGAGATCATCAATCGTGGTGGGTTTGCGCTTAGAAAGAGCTCTTTTCGAGATATGTAAGATGTAATAAAATACGATGGTTACGCTAAGAAATAATTGGCGATCTCAAAATTGACTGTTCTAAATTTGATGTTCCCCTCTTAGTTCATCGTTTCTCCCAAATTCGAGATCTTTCCAAGATCATATGACTGTTACATAACGCTGCTTGCAAAGAGAACGAACACCTAAAATTAACCAATCGCAGCTTAGCTGCATATTGCTTCCCGAGCAATTACATCATTCCTTTTCTTAAATTCTACCCTAGGCAGTATGGAAAATCTGGCCTGGAGGATTATCCGGCCACAACTAATTCTATATCCCAATCAGACTTTTTCTTCTTTCATTTATTATCACGAATCTTCTCGAAAAGCTGTACCTAAAAAGTGAAAGTATTTTAAAGGAAATCTGCAATGTCGCCACCAAAATTTACCCGTCATAATTGATACAGGCAGCCAAATAAATGTAATTTCTGAAATTAATTTAAACTGTATTAATGCACAAATTCAAATTTTAATTCTATACTTGAAAACACAACAAACATAATAAATTAACTGTGTTTTCAAGCAATAAACACAAATTTGATATTCGAAATAATACAATGAAGGCGATTTACAAAGTAAACCCAAGTTTAATAATTGGAATCTTGTAATTCAGACTATTTTCTGAAGATAACATATCCGACTTAAGATGATAAGTGATAATAATCTGAATCTGGGAGAATTTCTTATGTATTTAAAATGCATATAATATAACAATCATTCTATATTGCTTTATAATGATATTTGTGAAAAACATACATGCTGTCACACGAATATCATGAATGTCACACATGTCACACATGCTTTGATACGAAGTAGGAGTCAGAGCGGACTAGCTCTAAAGTGTTGGTGATTTGGTGCTGAAGACCATATACGACGGCATTGCAGATCATCCCAAGCCAAGGAAAATAAAACAAATGACGTCGTCAGACAAGTCAATGCTTTGAGACGGAACAGGAGAGAAATGAAACCAATTCTAAAGTGCTAGAACTCGTTGTAGAAGGCAACATACGAGGGAAATTCAGAACACCCCAGAGCACGGATAATGAGACAGAAGATTTAAACAGACAATTAAATGCCATGACACGGAAAAGGAGTGACCAGAAAACAAAATATTGGAACTGTGGAGATGAAGGCCACGTACGAAGGAACCGTAAAAACTCCAGGGCACGGAAAATAAGACCATTTCCAAGCAAAGACGCAGGAAACAAATTAATGACCATATCGAGGAGCGAACGTTACCAGATAATGAAAGACCCTGTTTTAAACGCTCAAGATTTTTACAGTGAGTGGCAACAGTAACGGTTTGCCCATTAATAGGAATATCGATGGAGTTCCTTGCAATATGATCATTGACGCAGGAGCTAATGTTACCATCATTCGGAAAACTTTAGCTCAACAACTGAAGGATAAACTCATTTGGACGCTATCTTGTGTTACCCTCCACACTGTGTTTGGTGATAAAATGGACGTAGATGGGAAGTTAAAAGGGAGCATCACGTTTGGAGCCGCCTGCCATCCCACGGCATATGTGGCAGAGATTACAGATCCTTGCATATTCAAATTGGACTTTTTAAGGAAATGCAATTTTTCTTTGGACTTCAAAAACAATAAGCTGTTTTCAGCATCTGAAGACAGGACGATCCATCTTCAAAAGGGTTCATCGCCTGGAAATGCCCACGTCTCATGTGAAAGACCCTACTCAGAAAGCTGCCGAAATTATACTAGGGTCGGAGAGAAACACCAGACTACCGGCTATTCTCCATCTCAGATGCTCTTCGGTCGAGACCTTCGTCTGCCTTGTGACTGCCTGTTTGATCTCCATCTAGATGCGCCTGTTATGTAGAGAAATTATCTGATAGCGTTATAAAAATTAGGTGAATGATTTTATGATTTATGGAAATCTTAATTTTTATTTGATTATGAATTATTTATTTTAAGGCTTTAATTTTGGGAAAGACAGATGCTTCTGGGAATATTATTTAGTTTAAAAAGAGTATTTTATTTTCCTCTATTTGTAAATCTTGTACAAACTTTTATTCATTGTGAAAAGAAGCAGGGAAAGGGAGGCAATTTTCGCCAAGTCATGATTTCGCGCCGCTTTAGAATGTTCGAGAAAGAATTTTCATTGTTAGTTGACCTTAAGAGAGGAAAGTACGTGACGGAAAGGTCAAAGTTTGTCTTTCAATGTAAGTCATTCAGGTTTTGGCGATTGAGGGTCCGGTTGTTGGCTAAGTGAAGAAGGGCGCGCATGCGCGATCACCCTTATTTCCGCATTCTGGAGTTGAAAACGAAGATTTTGCCATAATTAAGGGGGCGATAAGTGAAGCCATAGTGGGAGCCCGTTTTTGTGAAGGAGACGAAGGAAATTCGAGTTGGATACACACTTACTTTTGGCTGACTCTCGGACTGACTTGCTGATTTTTGGGCTTGCTGGACAAAATGTAAGTGACTCCGAGAGGTGTTTTCCGGCGGGGAGCGGCAAATATGCTCCCCGGCCGCGTTTTGGTTAAGAGGCGAGACTCTCTTACACACTTACTCTGGACTCGCTTAGGCACTCTCTGACTGACTCGCTGATTTTCGGGCTTGCTGGACAAAATGTAATTACGACGAGAAATGTTTTCCGGCGGGGAGCGGCAAATATGCTCCCCGGCCCGCGTTTGGTTAAGAGGCGAGACACACTTACTCTGGACTCGCTTAGGACTGTCTGACTGACCGCTGATTTTCGGGCTTGCTGGACAAAAATGTAATTACGAAGCGGGATGTTTTCCGCGGGGAGCGGCAAATATGCTCCCCGGCCACGTTTGGTTAAGAGGCGAGACTGATTACTCTGGACTCGCTAGGCACTCTCTGACTGACTCGCTGATTTCGGGCTTGCTGGACAAAATGTAATTACGAAGCGGGATGTTTTCCGGCGGAGAGCGGCAAATATGCTCCCCGGCCGCGTTTGTTAAGAGCGAGACACACTTACTCTTGACTCGCTTAGGACTCACTGCTTGGATTCGCTGACTTTCGGGCTTGAGGACTTGTTGACGGAGGCTGAGAAAAATTTTGTGGGTGTTGCGAAGGAGAAAGGAAAGATTTAGTTCGTCTTCGAGCAGCGCTTCTGGCGGGAAGCGGCAATTATGCTCCCCGGCCGCGGGTTTTCTCAAAAATGCTAAGAAAAAAAACTGTTGAGCGAATAACAAAAAATTAACAGAGACTTTGGGTCTATATCTGTATCGGCAAAAGTCAGGACGATGTCCTCTGAACTTTGACTTGAAAACAGAAGGAATTATGTCTCGTTAGACAAATGAAAACCTGAGTTAGCCGTTCTCTAAAATACCTAGCTTAATAATAAACACCTAGCTTAAATGTCTATGTTTACCTTGGTGG